TTTTTTTCCAGAATCATCACCATTGAATCTGTTTCTGTCAGTTAAAAAATGAGAAAGCCACCATGATAACATTCAGAAATCAGGAATCAGATAATCTTTTCAGTTTGTTAATGTGTAAAAAAAAAACAAGGACATTTTTTGGAGTTTACAAGACTTCTCGTGAAATTCCCACAAGCACAGTGAAATGCACAATCAGACCATCATGCTTATGTTTAAATAGTTCTGAGAAAGAGGGATGTTTAGCAATCTTCAAATCAAGTTGCATCTTTCCTCTGTGGAGAGGAGATGATTTCACCAATATCCACCTCAAAGCTGGGAAATGTTCTAGGCGTTCATGAGCTCCATTTTTGGATCTGTGTTTCTCTCTTTCTGGAGCTGCTTCCAAACATCACTACTCCTGGCATGGCGAGTCAGTGACAAACACAAAACAAGTGTGAAGCTGAACATTAAGACAAACAGGAGTCTGCGTCATGTGCGTCCTCAATCAATAGACAGTACTAGAATTCTGACAGGTTTTGTGCAAGACCAAAACTTTTTTCTGATCGCTGTTTCACGTATATGCTTACAGTGTTCACAAAACTCCAGTATCATCGTAAAAATGAAAAAATCTGATTGTGTTTTTCTGTCCAAGAGTCTATAATTTGACAATATTTAGACAATACCATCATTGGTCCTTAAACTTCGGGTTGAGGACAGTCGTGACAGCACTCTTGTAGATTGGATTCTCACCCTGCAATTAAAAAAAATATACATTGCTAATACATAATAATTATAACAACACTGAGATAGTTTCTGTGTTGTATGGGACAGAAACATTGTTTTGCATTATGCCAGTATGTTAAAATAACTTGTTTTGAACTCAGGGCTATTTAGTCAGATTGCTTACCGTGTCCCACTTAGCTTTTACAAGCTCTTTCTGGAACCTAGCGAACTCCCTCTTGTCATGGATTGTTGTGATCAGTTTCCAGATGATCAGCAGGGCCACTCCAATGAGAACAATAGACCCAGTGGCCACTCCAGTGATTAAGAGGACATCGGGACCTGCTGGACATGCTGACCGCAATCACGGGGACACTGAATTACTATGCTTTGGCACAGGCTCCTGAGACACAACATATTCAAATGCATTACTAGAATCTCTATACCTTGCCATGTCATTAACTCAATTCGTCATGCTATATATAAACACTGAGACATTCTAACGAGTTTGTTCATGCTGTTCAGCCAATAAAGGTGTCCACTCAGAGCCCAGACTGAGCACGACGTCCCAAGAGCTATTGGTTAGAACCTGGGACATGGTTATTGGTTAGCCATCTGTGACCAGGATTCTCTAAGTGGCACCACAAAACTGGCACAGGTTGGCAGGGGCCTAAGTCAATCAGGGCTAATGCTGTAACACCAGCGAGCAAGGCTTCATTCCATTCCAGACACAAATCATTGCATAGTGATGCCACTGAAATCCCAGCATGTTTTTTTTTTGCCAGCTGCAATACCACGACCATCAGAAACTCATCTGCTCCAATCTGAACTAAAACTAAAACGCATGGGCAATCCTGTTTGTCATCGCAGGTGGGCTTGCCAAGTGGCTGGAGGACCTGATCTTACCAAGGTACATTCCTGCCATAACTAGAGTGCAACCTAAATTTAGACACTTGCTGTTTGTGACATTTCAGAAATATCTGAGGATTGGGGCTTTTATGGAGATAGCTATTGTGCCATGTGTGGAAATACTTTGTATAATTCTAATGCATACGCAATGATCACTACTGAACATCCATTCATGGGAGTAACAGAAAGTCACCAGAGCTGTACTCAGACTAAAAAGGTTTCCTGCAAAACTGCTTGGATTTCAGATCCCCATGGGTGATGCGCCTTGTGTGCTTCTTCTTGGATGTTCTTAACAAATTAAAACTCAGTGTTCTCTGAACTGCGCTGCGACTTCTTGCGTCCTCTACGTGGCAGTGTGTCAGCTGTGACCTATTAAGTGGCTCAAAGATCAGCGGGTTGGAGGTGTCAACTAGCACCCCTCAATCTCCCCACTGTGGGGTCTGGGGACTCAAAGCAGAATTAACATGTGGAAAAAACACAACTGGCTATTCCAAATTGGGCTGGTGTAACAAAACATTGTTGGCGATTCTAAATAAAGAAGGTTTCATTCCACTGGGTACCTGTGGATTATAGAAGAAAATGAAGAATATACAGTAGCTGGCCCACTGCTCTTGTTTAATGCTTGAATGGTTTGGCTCCAGACTACAGCAGTGAACCGCTATGCTCCTAATCACACAGATAACAACTGCTCTCCTGGGACCGCGGCCTTCTTTCGCTGGAAATGGAAAACCCAAAAGTTCACTCATGGCTCATTAGTGTCTGGATGTGTTAAAATGCCTCTTTCCAATGTGGTTTAGCATTATTGTGCAGACCAAGGGAATCAAAACAATTAAAAATGGAAAAAAAAAGGTTTGATTACCTAGTTTTTCTACAACATGAAGGTAGGAGGTATTGGCTCTGTTGTCATCCTGATACACGAAGTGGACCCAGCAGTCATCTTCGTCTTTTTCCTTGCACATGTAGAAGCCAGTGTTGTGGTGCGCCGGGGGAAACTGGCTGCTCTCCTGCACCAGTGTAATGTTGAGGTGGCTGCACTGCCTCTGGCACTCCTCCTCCAGCAAGCCCTTGCTGAAGACTCTGCACCACACACAGTCCCTGCCGGGCCACACAGCCATCACCTGGATGTCCGCGTTCCTCACACTCGAGTTTGATATACAGTACTGGCTTCTCTTGTTAAACAAGTCCACTCATGTGCTGTTCTACACACAGAGCTATTTATTAACCATCTTCACCACGATTAAAGCATTTATTCTGCACTGTGTGAAATATAAATGACTGAATACAATAACATTCATTGCAAAAATGTACTGGTGTCTGTGTCACCCTGGGCTACGTATGTTATGAGGGTAATCAGGTGCCTAATCTGCTGTTAGCTGTAAGTCCTTGTGCAGTGTCTAGGCAGTGTGAGTGCCTTGTTATAGTTCACCCACCTGTGAACGCTGCACCTGTCGGGGCAGGTGGGGCAGATCTCACAGGTGGGCCCCTGGTACCTGCTGTCGCTGCAGACGCACACGCCACAGACGCAGCTCCCTTTGCCATTGCACAGGGCCCCAGTCTTGGCCTCACAGCCGGACGTGCTCAGAGGGCAATCACAGGCGCTTCCCGTAAATCCGGGGAAGCAGTTGCACATCCCACACTCACAGTGGCCCCTACCTGCAAACCAGAGGCAGGATCCTGTTTCACGCAGTGCTGTTGATGTCA